GTTTTCCTGCGGACAGACAGAGAGGCAGGGAGGGGCTGGCCGGTCCACTGCCTGTCCCCGGCCCACGCCTCCTCACTCTCAAGCACAGCCTGAGCCAAGGACCGCTCCTGGGGCCTTTCCCCGCGGTGGCGTGGGGGCCCTGTCTTCGGGCCCGCCCACCCCCTGTACCCGCTCTGGGAGGGTCAGAGAGGACATCTTCCTGGTAACTAGGCAAATCACGATTACTATTGCCACATTTTTTTTTTTTTTGTATTTTTTTTTTTCCCTAGGAAATTTACCAAGTTTTGGCCCAGGGGTTTACATCTGCCACCCCCTAGCAAAAGCTTTCACTATTCAAGCCCAAATGGAAGCCACTGAGGCTATAATTACACCGGCATTAGCTCAGAAACATGCTGAGAGGAGCGGGAACAGAGCACCTGGGGAACCTAAAAGCAGCCACGGGCCGAAATTAGCTGCTGTTCTGTTCGGTCCCGCCCTGCCCCTCTCTGGGGTCCCTCCCCGTCCTTGCTGTCCTCCACTTCAGCCCAGGCTGCTGCGCCCATCCCTTCTGCCAGCGTCCTGACAGGTGCACTGACCGTGAAAGAACCACCTGGCTGGTCACGGGGAGGCCCCTTGGAACCGTGCTTCCACTGTGGCCTCTGTGTAGACAGATGTCCTCCGGTCCTTGCCTGGCTGGGGGCAGAATGGTTTGGCAGCAGCCCAGGAAACTGCTGGGGGCGGGGCGGGGCACATGCCCCACCCCCCACCATGTCCAGCAAGCTATCTGCTCAGCATCCAGAGTCACCTCTGCTGGGTCCCTCTTTCAGTCTCTGTCTCCAGGCACATGGCTGCGTGCTGTCAACTCCTGTCCTGCTGTTAGTTCCCTCTGCTGGGACCCCCTTTCCACTCCCTGACCTCCCCCTGCGTCTCTGACCCCAGTCTGGGCAGGATGCCCTCTCGCTGCTCCCACAGCACCCTGGCTTCCTCGGGGCACAGCCTGGCCCTTTGTCCCCACCTGTGTGTCTGTGGAAATGCCTGCATGCGGCAGGCCCTCAATAAAAAAATGTTAATCGAATGAATAGGAAAACGGGCCTTGATTCCCTTTCTGCCTTAATTCTCCTTTTGTTTTTACAAGCAGGGAGTTTGCTCTTTCTGCCTTTGTAGGGCTGTTGTCGGTGAGGCAGGGTGTTGGGGTGATGGCCTGGTCTTCATCGATGGGCCCCGACTTTCACTTCTGAGCACTCTGAGCTGGGTGCCACGTTGATACTTGATCACACATGGTCTTGTATGGACCACCAGCACCCCGCCCTCTGTCAGCCTCGCTTCCTTCATGATGTTAACCAACACGTCACGGGCGCTTACTGTGAACTAGATACTGTTCTAAGTACATTTATTCTTTTACTCATCAAATGCTTATTCAGCACCCAGCGTGCATCAGGCCCTGGGAAATATGGATGCAGCACAGTGAGCGCAACTGACTAAGCCCCTGCCTTTGCAGGGCTTATATCGATACAAACAGATGAGTAAGTAGTTTATGCCGTGGCAGATGGTGACGAGTGATGTGGGAAAATCAGAGCCGAGTAGGGGTAGAGGGAGCAGCTTGCTGCTCTGTATAGGGTGGTCAGATAAAGCCCTCCCCAGAAAAAGTAACATTTGAGCACAGCCTTAAAGGAGTGAGGAATGGAGAGGTGTGGTCGTGCGGATGGGGGAGGGCTTTCTAGGCAGTGGATGCAGCACGTGCAAAGGCCCTGAGGTCAGGGCACGAGCCAGGAAGGCCAGGGAGACAGGCGTGGCCGGAAGGGAGTGAGCGAGCGCAGTCGGCGATGAGGCCGTACAGAGCGCTGCTGGCTAACAGGTGCAGAGTGGGGCACAGTGGGTTTACCGTTGGGAGTATGCGAAGAAGTTTATTCTTGTATTTTTATTAATTATTGAATGATTTCCCATATGAACAACTTTACGGTAAACCTGCTTTTGCCCCACTGTATAGTATGTCATGTAGGTAATTCTAAATTTTTTAGTAGTCACGTTAAAGGAGTAAAATAAAACAAGTGAAGTTAATTTTTTTTAAATCCTCACCTTGAGGGTATGTTCATTGATTTTAGAGAAAGAGGAAGGGAGAGAGGAAGAGAGAAGTTGATGTGAGAGAGAAACAGTGATCATTTGCCTCCCATATGTGCCCTGACCAGGGGTCGAACCCGCGGCCTTTTGGTGTAGAGGATGACGCTCTGACTGAGCCACCCAGCCAGGGCAATTACAGTGAAATTAATTTTAATAACACATTTGTTTAACACAGTATCTCCAAAATAGGATCATTTCCACATATAATCACAGTAAAAAATATTACTATTTAAATGCTTTATTAAGTACTCAAAATCCGGTGTATCTCTTCAAAATCTGGTGTGGGCCTCTCGTTTTAGGCTGGCCGCATTTTGAGCCCGGGGCGCGTGTGGCCAGTGCTGGACGGCACCGGCGTGGAGGCCCCGAGGCCCCTGAGTGAGACAGGAGGCTGCTGGAAGCTTTGGGGCCCAGGACCCTCCCCTCCTGCCTTAGGTTCTGGAAGGCCTGTGTCACCTGTGATGAGGGAACTGTTCTGAGGCGAGGGGCGGGTTCAGGGACAGAGCAGCGAGCCTGGGCCAGGGCCCCCACCAGCGCACGGCGATGGCGTGTGCATTGAACCAAGATGGCAGCAGCCGTCGGATTCTGGATGTATTTTTGAAGGTAGAACTGCCAGGCTTTTCTGACATGGGGCGTGAATGAGAAGAGGAGTCAAGGAAGCACCGAGATTTTCGGCCCGAGCTCTGGAAGGGTGCGGCTGTTTTCAGAGGCCTGAGGGAGACCGGGAGTGGGCGCAGCCGTAGGGGAGCAGGTGATGTTCGGTCTGGGGCATATTGGGTTTGAGACGCGGAGTCAGCCTTTGACGTGGGGCTGACAAGCAGGCTGGTGGACGTATGGATCAGGGTTCAGTGGGGAGGTCTGGTTGGGAATGTAAGTTTGGGGGTCATTGCTGGCAGTCAAGGCCACGAGGTGACCTGAGGGCCTTGGGTAGCAAGTGCCTGTAGGGAAGGGGGCTGAGCCCGGCAGAGCAGCTAGGAAGGGGCGCGCAGGGTGGCAGCCGAGGATCGGCAGCCCCGAGGAGAGGGGTTGGGGGCAGGGACCGGCTGTGTCCCCTGTGTTGCCGGGTCACTGAGACGGGTCCAGGCAAACACCAGGCTGCAGTGGGTCCAGAAAGAATGGGGAGGGAGGAAGAGATCGCTAGTGTGGATGACTCGTTTGAGGGGCTTTGCTTTAAGGAGAAGCAGAGAAACAGGCAGCAGCTTAGCCACGAGGAAGTCTTTTTTTCCTTAAAGATGGGCGATGTCCTAGCTGACGGGGATGTCCTGGCAGACAAGGAGAGAGAAGACGAGAGATCTCATTCACGCTCACAGAACACTGTGAGGCAGGGACTGTTTTGAACACAGGGAAACTGAGGCACAGGAAGGTTCCGTCCCTTGCCTAAGGCCACACAGCTGATAAGTAGCAGGGCCAGGAGGGGACCAGGGTGGCTCAGCCTGGAACTCCTGGCCTGCACCGTCTGGCTGTTCTGCCCCTTGGTGTCCCGCCTGGATGTATGAGCTCTTGAGAACAAGTCCCCCCTTACACCTCTGCACCCCACATGCACGGGGCAGGGAGAGGGCTGTGCCCAGGCGGGCGTGGCAGACCTTTAATGGCCAGAGCTCAGAACGCTAGGGCCCGTGCTGGCAGGCCTCAGGCGCCCGGGCGGCCACGGGAGGGAGGCGCGGTGTCAGCGTGCCTCAGCGAGTCCTTCCCACCCCCTGCTGGGCCTCGGGTGGAGGGGTGGTGCTCCGCAACTACTGAAAAGCATTTGCTGGTGGATGAAGAATGAATGCAGATAGGGCTCATCCTAAAACCTGAGCCGATGGCTCTTCTGGGCACACCATGGTGCTGGTGGGGTATGGGCTCCTACTCTGGTTTGCCGCCAGCGTTCTGGGAGACCTCGGGCTAGCCCTCCATGCACCCGGCGCCTCAGTGTCGCCGCCTGTGGGTTAGATGATGGCCCATCCGGTCTCACTGGCACGTCCTGAGGGGGCACATGCAGATGGGGCTCCTGCCTCTTGCCTGGTCCGTCTGTCATCAGGTGGACCGGAGGCGCCTGGAGGGGTGGGAGCTGGCTGGCAGTGGGGGTTGGGGGGTCCTTGTGCCGGGTGTTCCCTTCGTTGGAGAGGCAGCCCACCCAGGGGACCCCGGGGGTTCTTGTGCATCCTGCTTTGTGCCCGCGGGCAGTGGCATAAAGCTCAGAGCTGTGGCACTGGCTGCAGGTCCCCGCCTGTGGCTCGCCTGCCCTGTGGCCGGTGGTGCGCCCGCCCTGCAGAGTGCGGGGCTCGCCTTCAGCCTGCACCCCCACGACTAGGCTCCCCTCCCAGAGCTTTCTATTAGCTGAGAGGGTCCCTCCACACCGTGGGGGCGTTTCGGACTGCGCGCGGGCAGTTCCGGGCGGGGGTTGGTGGTGGGCAGTGGTGCCTCGGCTGCTGAAGCCCCCATAGCAGAACTGTCCCTCCCTGAGTGCCAGCGGTGTCCCTGCCGGAAGCTCATACGTGTGGCCGTTGGTGTCCAGAGCCTGGAGCCTGTCTGGGCTTTGCTGCCACCCAGCTGTGTGGCCTTGAGCCAGCTGCTCTGTTTCCCTGTTCCCCACACGCGTGAACAGAGCCACGAACACCCAGTGGCTTGGCTTTGCTGCTTGCGTTAAGTCTTAAATAAGCTTCAGAGGAACTGCCATCAGGGTAACGGCTCACCGGACATGCACACTCCGTGCCAGGCGCTGCCCTGGCGCGTCGTGGGCCTGGACATTCCCTCATTGAACCCTCGTCTCCACCTAAGGAGGGAGGGCCTGCAAAGTGACCCCATCTCGCAGACAGGAAGCTGAGGCAGAGCAGAGTGAGTGCTGGGAGGTGTCCCAGGGAGCGGGCGGTGTGTCGTCACCCGGCCTGTGCAGGCCTCTGACCTCTCTCGCCGTCCCCATCCAGGGACCGGTGCGGACCCGGCGGTCAGTGCCAAGAGCAACCACTGCCTGGATGCTGCCAAGGCCTGCAACCTGAACGAGAACTGCAAGAAGCTGCGCTCCTCTTACATCTCCATCTGCAACCGCGAGATCTCGCCCACTGAGCGCTGCAACCGCCGCAAGTGCCACAAGGCCCTGCGCCAGTTCTTCGACCGGGTGCCCAGCGAGTACACCTACCGCATGCTCTTCTGCTCCTGCCAGGACCAGGCGTGCGCTGAGCGCCGCCGGCAGACCATCCTGCCCAGCTGCTCCTACGAGGACAAGGAGAAGCCCAACTGCTTGGACCTGCGCAGCCTGTGCCGGACCGACCACCTGTGCCGGTAAGGGCGTCGGCTGTCAGGTGCCGGGGGGCCTGGATGCGAGCCCTCCCTTCCTGGCACACCTTCCACACCTCCCCCCACCACGCCCCCCCGTCTGCTGGAAGAATGGTCCTGGGCCCAGCCAAGAGGGCGGCTTGGCCATGTGCAGAATGAACTACCCCCCCTCCCCTCCTCCGTTCCTTCGGCACAAGTTCATTGTTTGCCTTCTCTGTGCCCAGCCACGTGCTGAGCACCATGGGGAAACCAAGACGAAAACCCAAGGAGTTGCTTATTTATTGTTAATCCTCACCTAAGGATATGTGTATTGATTTTAGAGAATGAGGGAAGGGGGAGGGGGGAGAGAAAGAGGGAGGGAGGGAAACATCAATTGGTGGCCTCCTGTACACGCCCAGATTGGGAATCAAACTGACAACCTAGATGCGTGCCCTGTGGGAATCGAACCTGCAACCTGTGCATGGGACAGCGCTCCAACCAGCTGAGCCACCCGGCCAGGGCAGGAGCTTATAATTTAAGTCACGGACTACTAGAGCCAGGAAAAGAACGTGGCCTTCAGTAAATTCAGCTCCACCTCTAGAGGAAGACTCCGCTGCCCCAGTGTCCCCATGGGGTCCTGGCTCTCATAAGCACTGCACAGAGGCAGGTCCTTCCACATCAGGAGTTGAGCCCATCGAGTGCTGGACTGGAACGCGGGTCTGGAGTCCGACAGGTTGTGGCTGGAATCCCGACTTTTCCACTATGATCTCTGCCAGTTGGAGCAAGTTCCTTAAAGGTCCCAAATCTTCATCCCTTTACCTGTGGAACAAGAATAAAAATACCCATATCCCAGGTTACCGTGATTATGTAACGTGCATCCAAAGCTTAGTGCAGAGCCTGCCGAGCAGCATGTAGTTTAAAAGTGTAGCTTAATTATCAGGAAGGTTTTGTTTTGTTTGCTCTTACAGTGAGTTGAAATTGCCTCTTTATAACTGTCTTGCTTTTCGTGCTTGTGGCTCAGCGTTTGCGGAGCCCCTCTCCCCTCCAGGGCTCCGGCCTGAGGCCCGAGTGTGCAGAGGCGAACAGGACGCTCTCGCAGGAGCGTGTGGTCCAGAAAGGAAGACCCGAGGGCCTTGACCCCAGTGCAGTGGGGCGGCCGAGGCGCCCTGAGGAGGGAGCTTGGGGGAGGGGCACGCGCCTCAGCCTGGGGGTCCAGAGGGTGGGTCTCGAGCTGAATCTCGGGAAATGAGAGGGGGAAAAAGGCAGGGAGTAAGTCAGCTGGGAGCGCATATGTGAAGGCCGGAGGGCGGGCGAGGACCTGGACAGGTGGTGCGGGGTGCGGGGCACGGAAGGGGTGTGGGCCACATGCTGGGGAGGCCAGGCACGGCTGCCGGGGGATGCAGCCTTGGTGGTGCAGAAAGAGCGCTTTCTATGCACCAGGCACCAGTCTCTCGTGTGGCTCATCCCCTTTAATCGTTGCGGCAAGGCTGCATACGAGGCAGGTGTCGTTATCATCCCCACGTGCCAGTGCAGAGGCAGAGACGTGGACAGTAAGGCCCCTCGGGCCCCACGGCTCCTGCACCTCGGAGCTGGGCCTGGTCCCAGCTGCCCTCGTCCCAGGACAGCATGCTTCCTGGGCTGAGGTCGTGCTGTGGGGATGGGGAGGAGCGTGTCATTTCAGAGGTGACTGGTAAGTAGCCCTGACAGGACCAGATGATGGGTTGAAGTGCCTGGAGGCAAAGCCGTGTCTGTTTGGTTACCCCTCCGCTCATCCTGCGCACGGAGCCCGGTGTGCAGTGAGCACGCTGTAAGCATCTCTTGAGTGGATAAACAGCTGGCGACTGCCACGTTTCCTGGTGGAACAAGTACAGGGACGATGGAGCCGTTCAGTGTGTGTGTAGGGGTGTGGGAGGTGCCGGGGGGTCCACGTTGTTCGTCCCCATGGTAGTGTCGGGGGCACCTGGACTTGGGGGCCTGGAGCTCAGCAAAGGGGCCAGAGTGGAGAAGAGGGTTGGGACCTGCTGGGCCCTGAGCTTGCTGGTGACGAAGCCACCGCTGTGAGTGGGCTGGCGCAGGAGGGCTGGTCGTGCCCACGAGGGGCTCTAGGCAGGAGACGCCTGCGCGTTTGGGCATGGCAGTGTTTCGGGGGTAAGAGAAGCCGTGGCTGTGAGGCAGAAGTCTGCTGGGAACACTGGGCCTTGGGGGCGGAGGGGGAGGAGCCTGCGACCGGGTGGTTTGGGGCTCGGGGCCTGGCGGGGAGCGGACCAGAGTGCAGAAGAAAAGGGGTTCCCCAGGGAGGGAGGCTGTGGTGCGGCACAGAGTGTGTGTGTGTGCGTGCGCGCGCGCGGTGAGAGAGTTGTGAGAGTGTATGAAGGTGTGTAGGTGTATTTGTATATTTGTGTGAGAGGATGAGTGTGTGTGTGAGCGAGCGTGTGGGCATGTGAGTGTGTGGGAATGAGTGAGCGTGAGTGTGCGGAGGGCGGCTGCCTGTTGGGCGGGAGGCCTGGCAGGGGGCGGAGGAGGCGGCAGTGGGTGCCTTGTTGAGAGGGACCGGGCAGGGAGGGAGGGACAGGGGCTGCGGAAGGAAGGGGAGGTCTCCTTTGTCCCAGGGGAGCCGTGGGCCATGTATACATGGAAGGGGACGCACTGCTTTGCTTTGGAACAGGTGCTGCTGGAGTCGAGAGAAGGGCTCATCCCCATTGCTGGCTGCAGGTCTCGGGAAAGCTGGGAAAAAGGGGGCTCTTTTGCTTCCTTAAAAAATGCGCCTTATCCGAGGCTGTGGAGAAAAGGGAACTCTAGTCCACTGTTGCAGACTGGTGCAGCCACTATGGAAAGCAGTGTGGAATTTCCTCAGAAAGCTGAAAATGGAACTGCCTTTTGATCCAGCGATTCCCCTGCTGGGACTATACCCTGAGAACACCAAAACGCCAATACAAAAGAACCTATGCACCCCAATGTTCATAGCAGCACAATTTACAATAGCCAAGTGTTGGAAGCAACCTAAATGCCCATCAGTAGATGATTGGATCAAAAAATTATGGTACATATACACAATGGAATACTACGTAGCAGAAAGAAAAAAGAAGTACTAAACTTCGCAACAGCATGGATGGAACTGGAGAGCATCATGCTAAGCGAAATAAGCCAGGGGGCGAAAGACAAATACCATATGATCTCACCTATAAGCGGAACCTAACCAACAATGCAAAGAAGCAAGGCAAATATGGCCAGCAACACTGAAAGGAAAAGAAATCAACAGAGACAAGAGGGAAGGGGGGGGCAGGGAAAGGGAAGGGAAGGGGAAAGTCAAGGAACATATAGCAAGGACTCATGGACAAAACCAAAGGGGAAGAGCTGAGGGAGGGAAGGTGGGAGGGGGCAAGGGAAAGGGGGGGGAAGGCAGAGACAAATGTATTTAAAAAGTAAATAAATTAATAAAAAAAAAAAATGCGCCTTATCACAAAAATGCCCGCAGCGGATTGATTGAGGTGATTTAAAATCGAACCGTGCATCAACAACAGGACAGTTAGGAGAAACCCGGAGCCTATAAGGACGGGGAGCACGGCCGCAGGAGCTCTGAGCGTCCTGGCAGAGACTTGGGGGGCAGCCGGACTCCTGCGCTCGGTGGGAGGGAGCTGCCGATTCCTGGGTCCAGACGTGTTCTCTCCTTGCTTCCAGGCTGACGGGAGGTCAGGCCGCTCACACACAGCATTACCTGGAATGACGGGGAGCCGGAAGGCCAGCCTGAGGCTAAGCCCAGGGGTGACAGATGGGGCCTTCAGGACCTGGTGCGCACCTGTGGCCCAGGTGCTCCGGAAGGCCACCGGCTGCAGGGGCCTGGAGCCAAGCCCACCCGGACATCAACCTGAGCGGAGGAGCAGCATGACACCAGCACTTCCCTTTGTTAGGGCGCTTCAAGGAGGACAATATGGGCGGCTCCTTGGTGTCTGCAGCCCCAAGTGAGCAGGGAGAGTCCAGAGCAGGCTGCATTTGGTGGCTTGTGGAGCGTAGGTGTCTGTTTAAAGAACCAGAGGAGTTGGTTGGTTTGTTTTTCTGGAAGTGGAGGGAACTAGAAACAACTGGGGAAAAAACATCACAGAATGAGGGGAGGTGCTTAGATGGGACTCGGGACTGGGAGGGGCAGGGGTCAGGTCTCACAGGAGCTGAGGGTGGACCTCTCTGGGAGAGGCCGAGCCCAGCGGACCGGCGATGTGCATCAGGACTTAAATTTAAACAGCGGCCCCTGTGGGACCAGGTTTTTGAATCGGGTCCTGCACAGGAGGTGCCTGGTGCTCCCTGCTGGGCTAGGCGAGCCCTTGGTTCTAGAGCCAGGGCATTCCTCTCACCGTCTGTCTCTCCTCTTCGCAGCCCTGCACAGGGGGAGGCAGGCGTGAGGCAGAGCCTGCCTTCAGGACGGGGCTGAGAGGACCTGGGGGGCTGTGACAGCACAGCTCAGTGTCCTGCAGTGAGCACTGCCTGTGACGCAGAGTGGAGGCTTGAGGTGGGGGCAGAGGTGCTCCGTGCGGAAGCAGATGCTGGGGGGCGGTGGGGTGGAGGGGCTTGCCGTGGCGGCCCGGAGCCGGGAGACCCGTCTTCTGTGCTCGCTCTTCCCGTCTCTCAGGCGGTCCTGGGTGGACCCTTTCACTCCTCGTGGCCTCGGTTTCTTTACTGATCACGCAAGGGTGCTCATGTGTCTCCAAAGAGCTTTCCAGGCCTGTGGCTCTGAGTCTGTTGAAGCAGCTTGCCACTCACCTTTCCCCCTGTGTCTCCACTTGAGATTATGCACCTGGAGAGATGAGTTCTCGGTACAAGAAGACGTGAGATGGCGCGGGAGCGTGGGTTTGAAGGAGGGGAGCTGACTTCTCTCATGCGCTTGCAGGCCTGGCTCCCTGACCCACGGACGGTGGGGCATCTGTGGGCAAGACCGGGACGGGATGGGTGGCTGGAGAAGGAGGTGCATTGGAGAACAGGCTGTTGTCCCTACGCCTGGGATGGAGCGCGCTCTCTTCACCTCCCGGTTTCTATCC